ACAACTACTTAACGCAGAATAAGCATCTGTTGGGTTGAGTTTTGCCACTGTCCTGCGAAGGTCTACGGTTAATACTTCTGGTCGTACAATATACGATCCTTGAGCTCTTCTGCAGTGTAAACTGAGGTGCGATAAACCAGAGTTTTAAGATACCCCTATAAGAAAAAGTGCAAACTATTTAAATCTGGAGACCTAGGGGGCCATGGTTGAGGTCCGCCGCGACCTACTAAATGTCTGATTTAAATTTTCTTTTTTTGCAACACTAATGTAAGGAGGCGCGGCGTCATGCATATCATGTTCTGTTCCTAATTAAATATGGTACTTCTTCTAGCAATATTGGCAAATTCTCTTCTAAAAATCGGCGATAATTATGGGTTCTAAGGCCCAATGTTCAAATTCTACAACCACATGGGGGTTTTCATCGGCCTAAATATGGTTATTGTCGAAATTCCTGATTGCATTTCTGGAAAAGATAGCTTCATCTGTAAACAGTATTTCTTGACAAAAATTAACACGCAAATTGAAATCTCTGGGAAGTAACCCTTCGACTCGTTGAATATGATGTTGTGAAAATTGTGCAAAATGTTCCAAACCAATACTTACGGTATATTCAGATTATTTCCAATTTTTCTAGCACTAAGTTCAGGATTTTCATCAACAAAATTTAAAACTGCTTCTTCAATTTCTGGAGTTCTCACAGTCGAAGCTTTCTGGTTAGTTTTGCATGTTGTAAAATGCTGTTAATACACATGTTGTTTTTTTTCTTTAATAAAGGCTATTTGTGCTATTTGTTAATAATTATTATTATGTAGTGATTTTTGTGTAGCGCGTAGTAATAGGAATTAGTAAAAGTGAGGCAAATTTTACAATACAAATAGACGACTAGTAATGGGAATTTTTGTCTTTGCCTCGTTTCCATATATTACTTTACTAACCGACATATTGGGTTGTTCGGAAAGTCATTTCGTTTTTTTTGGGGAACATGAAAGACAGTTTTCGTATAATCAATAAATATTTTATTAAATTATATATTGGCCGTTCTGGTCCAACACCTTTTGCCACCTTTCTGGCAGTAACATAATTCCCCTCTCATAAAAGTTTTGGTCCTTGCTGGCAAAAAACTGGTTCAGGTGGTTTTTGACATCTTCATTTGAGGTAAAGGTTTTGCCATCCAAAAAATTTTGCAGGGACCGGAACAAATAGTAGTCGGAAGGCGCCAGATCTGGAGAATAAGGTGGATGTTGCAGTACGTCCCATTCAAGCTGTAAAAGTTTTTGGCGAGTGACCAAACTTGTGTAAGGTCTCGCATTATCCTGGTGGAACACTACACCCTTCCTGTTGATTAATTCGGGCCTCTTCTCTTTAAGTGAATCATTCAATTTGTCCAGTTGATGACAATAGACTTCTGAACTAATCGTTGTATTGTCCGGCAAAAGCTCAAAAAAAACGATTCCTTTGACATCCCACCAAACGGAGAGCATCACCTTTTTTGGTGAATGTTGGCTTTTGACACGCTTTGAGCCGGTTCATCTTTTCTGCTCCATGACCTCTTGCGTTTAACATTGTTGTATACAACCCATTTTTCGTCCCCAGTAATAAGCCGCTTCAAAAATGGATCATTTTCTTGACGTTTGAGGAGCGAATCACACACGTCAACGCGACGACACAAATTTCGCTCCGTAAGGACATGGGGCACCCACACATCGAGCTTCGAGGTTAAGCCCATGCCTTTCAAATGGCCATAAACAGTCGAATTCGACAAATTTAATCTCTCACCGATCTCTCGTGTGGTTATTCGCCGATTTGCATCAACTAATGCCTTTATCGCATCTTTGTCAGCTTCGACCGGCCTTCCAGACCGTGGTGCATCTTCGACATCAAAATTGCCGGATCGAAATTTTGCAAACCAGTTCTGGCACTGGCGTACTGTTAACACGCCTTCTCCATACACATCCGTCAATTTTTTTCTCGCTTGGACAGCATTTTTACCTTTTCTGAAGTAAAAAAGTAAAATATGACGAAAATGCTGCTTATTGCTCTCCATATTTAAAAGGGCACCAACCAAAAACTACTGCGTAGAATTGATAGAACTTTTTCACACACAAGCCTTGCAATATCAGCTCTCAAGACATATAATGGTTATGCGGCTTAAGTGTGAAGTTGGTTTCGAAAAAACGTAATTAAGTCGTCTGACGGGAAAAAACGAAATGACTTTCCGAACAACCTTATAATAATTCCTGCTGAAATCAGTTATAAGTTATTATTTGGTGAATTTTCACTGGCGTATATTTTAAAAACGGCTTACAATTACTGTTGGTTCACTTGAGAACTTTTGAATGACGTTTAGTTTTTCAAGCCAGTTACTAGGAGGATGCGTATATTAAGTAACAAGTTTGATAAACGCCATTATAGTTTGTTCTACTACCGTTGGTTTTTTTGTTCATTTTTGATAAACAGCACAAATAGGTTAACCAAGTGATGTCAGAATGGACAATCATCAAAATTTAAACCGTGCGGTAATATCTTCGAAAATGTCAGGAACGGCTTGCAGCATTAAGTGACACTTTTCGGAGGACAGTCGATCCGTGTTTAATTGGGTCTTTGGAGAAGGGGGTAGAAAAATCGGTAGAATGTAATGGTTTGAAAGTTTTAATCTTGTAGCACTTGCTATGACAGCTACATATAAAAAAACTTATGTCGCGAGTGTACTTTCTGGCACTTTTCGACTAAGCAGAAAACATACTCGAAACAGAAAACTTCCTAAAATTAACAAAACAAAAACATATTAAGTCGTCAGTGCTATAATTTAATTAAAAGAGGACCACAATATGGCAATAAAATGACAGATAATAATAATAGATAAAACATATACATTTTTTTAAAAATACGATGATCTAATCACTAAGATCATTAGATAAGTAGATGATACTATTATAAAAAATCCCCCCCTTCAGCACTGATCAAACTAGTTCTTCGTTAAATTATATGCAGTGCTTAGAACGCAATTATTAAAAAAAAAAAAACACTTCCTTAGTACCCGGTATAATACCAACAAACAATAAAATACAAACGATCAAAAAGTGGATATAATTTTTTACCAGATCACATGTCCCTCAAAGTGGCTGTTTCAGTCAACCTTCTATATACATTTGAAAATGATCGCCTGTCAACAACTATGAAACAATCGCCTTGACAACAGAATTGAAAATTCTTACAGACACATCCTACTTCATTGATAAAAAATAATTCGTACCTCATTTTTTTTCAAGCATATTAATAAACAGATAAGCAATTACTTAAGTACGAAATAATGATGATAACAAGTGTAACGATTCCGTTATGATCATGCAGAGAACCATAGAAAAATCGCTTATTTAATTATTGAAATTCTATTAGAAAATGACCTATATACAATTCCTTTATTTAATTATAAAGGATTAATTCCCCCGGAGGACCTATACAGTAATTTAGGGACCTGGGAGCTGGATGGAACATTCCATTTACAGCAACGTAAACCTACGTATATAATTAAAAATAAAACTCGAGAAACAAAAGTAAAAATATTATAATTATAATAAATTATATAATAATATCACCAAAAGTAACAAGATTGCTTTCGAAAAATCGTCACTGGGCGGGTCAAGTTCGTAGCGCGTCGCGCGAAGCAGCTTTTTATTATACAAGGAAAGAACTTCGCGATTTCGTGTGGTAATGGGACGCATTGTTTTTCTATCGGGCTCCTGCGGACCATTATGGAACTTTCGCGAAATCGATGTAATTTAATTGTGCATGCACCCCGTATAAAATGTCCTTCACATCTCCTCGAACTTCAAAGTTACAGCAAACTTCGGTAAATATCAAAATTTGCATAAATAATAGCGTTGTCGCGATACAGTTTACGATACTGTTCAAATAAAATGAAATTTTTAGGATATTTTAGATTTTTTGCCCATAAACGACACACCCTGTATATGATACAATCATTGTTCCAAGTTGGCTATTGACCTGGATTTTCCACGCGTCCTGGTTCAAGAATTTTTTGAAAATAGTAAATGGTTTTCGAGAAAATAAGTTTTTTTCTGAAACCATGCAGTGCGCAAATGCAAAAATTGTAGCTCTTGATGCGGCCCATGACACCGTTTAAACCAATTAGCCATATTTTTTACGATTTTTGATTTGCGGCTAACAATTTACTCTGAAAAAAAAAACAATTTTCCAGGTCTTTTAGTTTTTTGCCTATGATTTGAAAACCCTGTATATAATCGAAAAAATGCCTGAAATAAATGTTGTTGCACTGGATCTTCTGCGTCTGCCGGTTAAAGAATTTTAACGATGGGATGAAGGGTTATGTAGGGAAACATACTTTTCTGGAAGCTAAAATGACCCAAAAAAAAATTCAAATTTTTTAAAAAAATACTTTAAAAAATTTGATTGCGCCCAATTTCTATCGTTTAAATGTGGACACGGACCTTTACTTCTTTGCAAAATTTGAAGTTGATATCTGCAAAATTTTTTTTAAGCACGGAATATCGGGAACATCCTGTACAATAGTTGAAAATCTTAAATACAAAAGTTTTTGCAGTATTTGAGTTATAACCAATTTTCAATAATAGGGGGACCCATTTTTCAGTTTTTTTGAATTTGCGGCGCACCCTGTATATTCTTAGAAAAATTGTTAAGAATAATAGTTTATAGAGCCGTATCTGCTGCTTCTTCTAGTTAAATAATGATATTTTTTATAGATCCTTGCACGCGCGATTTTTTATTTTTTTAGAATACTTAATCGATGTATCCTGCATTCTAACCAAGAAGCAAGAAGAAGAAACATCATCTCAGTTTTTGTCCCGTTCAAACAAATACCGTTACGCTCACAATATCGGGTCTTACCACAGTAGTGAATAAGTACAATATAGGCTTCCCCCACTCCTCTCCCTTTTGTGGGCGTGTCCTCCTTCCCCACGACTCTCTAGCTCCTCCCCCTTTACCCATAATCCCTTGAAACTGGCTCCCATTGGATAAGCAAGCACCAATGGGGTTTAATCAATCTCCCCACCTCTAGTTTGCGATGGCGGCGAAGCCAATCAGAGCCCAGATATTTTCCCACCCTTAAGAAAAGCAATGCCGTCAATGAGACTTGATCATATTGTTCGCGTGACCATCTGCACCCTCTAGCGGTTCGAATGTAAACTAGTGTCCCCTCTTGGAATAAGATTTTCTTTAATAAGGTAACCCCACCTAGTGAATATTGACCAAAACATTTATTTTAAAAACATATACTTCTGCGAATGTGTACCCTCGCGGGTACAAACTGTACTTTTATTGCGCACAAAGGACAGGGGAAATAAAGACGAAAAGTGTTGGATTTCTTTTCTCGGAACTGGAAGCTGGCAGGCACCAGCAATAATATCTGCAAAACAAAAACCTGGTTAAAATTTTCATTAATAAAGTAGGATATTAGAAACCATATACCTTTTTAATTAATAAGCCATCTACCGTGCGTTAACTTCATACATATTTCCGCATGCTTCTGTTTTAAGGTATCGTGAAATATTTGACTATTTATCTGGGAAAAGTTCATATGTCGAAAATATTATGTGTATGTGGCCGTGGTAGGCTTTCTTTGCTATTATAATTTTATTTTTATTATTTAATATTTACAAAATTAATTTATCTATCTTATTGATGATTTTGATTTTCTTTGCTATTTTATTATTTGTTTTTATTATTTAATATTTTCAAAATTAATTTATCTATCTTATTGATGATTTTCAGATATCGCAGTCAACTTTACTATTTCATCAATTTCTTTTATTTATTGCTGATCTTTGAGAATAGTGTACATACTTTTTTTCGTAACTTATCTGTATCTACCCTTTAATTTCCTATCAAGCCATAAAGCAAACTCGAAAGGCATCTTAACTAAAAACTCATATACTTTAAAGCTGCTGCTACTACTACATAAAAGTGTGTTTCTATGCCAATCTCAACAACAATGAAATCTGGACGCTTATACTAATTACTGTAATACTCTTCTCTGCTAACGCTCTAGGAGACGCTATTTGAACCCTGTTCAAAGAAAAACTTCTACAGCCCAAATAACCTCTCTGAACCACACTTAAGCGCATCACTCTTTCACTGTCTTGAAGCCTTCAGATTAATATTCCGTACTAACTACGTATGCCATACACGAAACGTTCTCTTTTCTAATTTTTTTCTATGCGCTACATTAACGAACAGGATCTAAACTTTTCTGTCTGTGTATTTTGTTAGCCACCTTAAAAAAATTAAAAAAAGGTATGCGAACCTAGAGGATATTTTCCATATTTTTCACAAATGGTGACAACAATTAATGCAAGTATTATTTTTAATAATAACCCATCTTTCGCTATGACACGAAAACATCGACTTTTTAATTCTAACTTTTCTCATAGAGCTTCCCTTTAGTCTCTATCTGTTCTCTAACTAAATCCCCACCTTTTTGAAAAACCAACCTCTAAAAATAGTTAATTTTCTCTAATTTAAATTTGTACGTTTTCCGCAATATGTGTGAATATTTTCGCTAGAACATTTAGTTACTTAGTACATGTCCTAATCAATATTTTAAAAATATAATTCTAATGATACGTGTTTACGATTTGAAGATAACGAAACATTCCCCAGTTTCATAAATGAGAGCTCACTGCCAAACTACCAAACATCACAGTACAAACTACCGTACTACGCCCCCCTGGACAAAATCAGGTCAGTTAGCGTCATTAATTCTACCTGCGTTAACGAATAACGTATTGTTAATTAAGGTTTAATACGTAGAAAATTTAAGTAACAAATAATTGCAATGAAACTCACTAACATCATAAATTATTAAAAAAAAATTAGAACAGTTGGAATTTACTGGAGTAACCAATTTGGCACTAAAAATGGAAATTTTCGATACTCTACTAGGTGCCTACAATAAATTTTACTATTATTTTTAATGCAGAGACACAACGATTTTCTAGTTCTGAATTTGATCAGGGGTATATGACCATAGTTTACGCCGACTCTAAAAGGCATGCAGTCTATTGTTTTTGAACGCCCCATTTTGTGTATTATGTTCAAAACAGAGACTCTCTGGGCTTATGACTACAGCTACCAGCTACTACTTTCAATAATATTAACACAAAAAAAAGTAGGTGGGATTTCTATAATACGTGCAAAGTTTATGTGAAACTGACTGGAAGACAGAGTAATGCACCAATATGTTACTAAACATATTTCGATAGAATTCCGTAAGAGCTTACCTCCAAGTTTCCTCATTTAGTCAGTCAAAGCATCAAATGGGAAATTCCAATCCAACATATGTAGTGGTGGAAATATATCAATCGCCTACGTTACCGACGGTACCCGAGTGAAGCTTCTGCGTCTTCTTTACCCCACATGCCTACTTAAAAGATACTGGTCTAAGTCTCAATATTCCTGTTAAAAAAAGAGAGGTTCTATATTGCCATAACTATGTGTTTTCAAAATTTTACCTGAATGGTTCGTGATTCCTTATATATGCAGTGTTGGCAGCAATGTGGCGACGACTACGCTGAAACTTTCCATATCTCGTGTCCCCATGACTGGTCTGTTTCATATATCAAACCTCACCTCGCACGGGTTTGAACCTCCTTTAAAAAAAAAAAACAGGCAAGACTTATACTTATATCAAAGTAATACGAGGAACTTATATTTTATGCCAAAACTTATTTCATCACCTCCAAAGGGGAGTAGGGGTTTCTAAAGTATGGTAGGTACATCTCTTTCATTTTTTAATTAAAAAAGTGACACAATTACGCGACGTAACTCGATCCGGATCGTTAACGCGTCTCAAGATGGGGGTTTAGAGATGCTGAGGTCATTAAATTGATTCACTATTACCAGTACACACTGAAACCCCTTATTTCCAAAATAAAAAAATTGTTAACTGTTAACACAACAAAAAAAAACTATTTTCTCACCAATTATATTTCTGGGTCGTTTTCAGAATTTGTCCAACGTAGAATCCCAAGAGGATAGGGCCGCATTTTCGAAAAATGTTCATGTCTCCCCACTATGCATTTGTACAAGAAGCAGGGCCGGATTAACAGCAATTATATTCTTGTCAGTCAACATACAGCCGCCGATTGAATTCTCGGATTCTGCTTTACTAGTTGCCATGGTCTGTCAAATATGTTACTTAAAAATTGTATATTTTTTTTTTACAAATAATATACCTTTCCTAAAATAATTCCGCCTTTGTCAAGTGGGACACGGGCACGTCTGTCCGCTTTGAAAAGCGCAGGCGTATGTATCTTCCAAAATGATCCAAGCAGGCCCGGATTGCCAGCAAATACACAACTCCCCGATTCAATTCTGAGATGTTGCTTCACGAGTTACCATGATCTGTCAAATATTTTAATTAAAAAAAAATCTATTATTTAGCAACAATATACCTTTTTAAAATAATTTCGTCTTTTTTCAAGTTCAACAGGACACGTGTGTTCGTTTCAGTTGGACAAGGGCACGTCTGTCCGCTTTGAAAAGCGCGGCGTATGTATCTTCCAAAATGATCCAAGCAGGCCCGGATTGCCAGCAAATACACAACTCCCCGATTCAATTCTGAGATGTTGCTTCACGAGTTACCATGATCTGTCAAATATTTTAATTAAAAAAAAATCTATTATTTAGCAACAATATACCTTTTTAAAATAATTTCGTCTTTTTTCAAGTTCAACAGGACACGTGTGTTCGTTTCAGTTGGACAAGGGCACGTCTGTCCGCTTTGAAAAGCGCGGCGTATGTATCTTCCAAAATGATCCAAATTGTTAACCTTTTTTTGATTCCTCGTTCCCCGATTCAATTCTGAGATGTTGCTTCACGAGTTACCATGATCTGTCAAATATTTTAATTAAAAAAAAATCTATTATTTAGCAACAATATACCTTTTTAAAAATAATTTCGTCTTTTTTCAAGTTCAACAGGACACGTGTGTTCGTTTCGAAAGGTTTCGTAGTCTGTAGCTCTGTCGAATTCTCCAAAATTCGTTAAACCTTCAGATATTTTCAAAATTTGTCCAACGCAGACTTCCACTCACGCAGTTTCGAAAACTTTCTGGTCTCCCCGCCATGCATTTGTACACGAAGCCGTTCTGGACTATCAGCAAACAGCACATCCGTCATTTTTCTTCTCGGATTCCGCTTGACGAGTTACATCGATCTGTCAAATATTTAATGTAAAACAATCTTATCTATTACTTTTACCCAATATTAAGTACCTATTCAAAATTAGTAGCGCCTTTTCGAGTTCGAAAGGTTTCGTAGCCTATAGCCCTGCCGAAATGGCATTGCATTTGTACACGAAGCAGGGTCGGATTGTAAGCAAACAGCACCCCGGTCACTTTTCTTCTCGGATTCTGCTTGACGAGTTACATCGATCTGTGGAATATTTAGCGTAAAAAAAATTATCTATTACTTTTACCAAAAATGAAGTACCTATTCAAAATTAGTAGCGCCTTTTCGAGTTCGAAAGGTTTCGTAGCCTATAGCCCTGCCGAAATGGCATTGCATTTGTACACGAAGCAGGGTCGGATTGTAAGCAAACAGCACCCCCGGTCACTTTTCTTCTCGGATTCTGCTTGACGAGTTACATCGATCTGTGGAATATTTAGCGAAAAAAAAAAATTATCTATTACTTTTACCAAAAATGAAGTACCTTTTTTCTTTAAAACAGTTCGTCCTTTTCGAGTTTGAAAGGTTTCGTAGCCTATAGCCCTGCCGAAATGTCATTGCATTTGTACACGAAGCAGGGTCGGATTGTCAGCAAACACCACAAGCGTCACTTTTCTTCTCGGTTTCTGCTTGACGAATTACATTGATCGGTCAAATATTTAATATAAAAAATATCTATTTTACCAAAAATACGTACTCTTCTAAGATAAATTAGCTCTTTTCGAGTTTAAGAGGACACGTATGTCAACTGTAGGATGTTTTATTTTTATATTTTCCAGTGTCTATAAATTAATAAACAACAGAAGCTTCCGAATACAAAAATTTCAACATGAGTTTTTTTTTCTTGAAACTTAAAAGTTCTAACCCCTAAAACCATATTTTTAATACGCTGGCGGACGTATAACAATCCCCAAAAATTACCATATTTAAATTGTTACTATTGACATATTTCTATTCCGAACTGAACTCAATACATGCAAAAAAAAAACTAGCGAATGTTATTTATTATCTCCGATGGGTGGATGATTGAGAAACGTTTAAATAAATCTACCTTTCTGTCTCTGTTTTTCTATATAGGTCACTCATTCTCTCTATCTGTTACTTTCCACAATCCGAATTTACACTAGGCCCCCCAAAAATCTTGTAAAATTTTATCTGCTTAACTTCTTCGCGTTGTTCATATGGCTGAATTTTTTGGGAGATATATCGTGCGTTATTTGTATTAAAATTCTGTTTCCTTTTTACCTACTTCAAAAACGTAAGCGAGCATTTTTGGTTGTTTTATTAAACAAAAATTGATACTAAACAAGATCCGTCTCTCCGACCTCAGCCTCCTTTGATCACTCCCCAATTTTTTTTAATTAAGTATAGAAACCTCGTCGAACATATACATAATACTAGGTCAAAATGTTACGCGGTTACTCATTAAAGTCGCAATTCCGAAAGCTTCTTACCTATCTTTTTCCAGTCTTTTTTGTTTTATTTATCCGTATATGAAACACACATTGAACACAAAACTTAAACTCGTTGACGATATTGCATTAAGCAACAAACGCGTATAACAGAAACGAACCCTTAACACAAACGCTTCTTTAAACTTCGACTGACACGTGAAACAACCCGCATTCCTACGAAAGGCAGGTAAACCAAGCAGGTCAAATTTTAAGCTACCCTCCAGTGTCGTCATAGGTTGGGGCATAGTAAATAGCGAATACAACAAAGCGGTAATTTATAATAATTTAATGTGCATTTTATTTAACTTAAGTTGTTTTGTAGAAAATGAGATATTTCTACAATTAATCAATATACTACGAGTACTTTTCCGCTTAATTACTATTTTTGAGAAACAAAAGGAAACGTTAGATTCCATTCAAACTTTTTCGGTTTTCATGATATCTCGCGTTTATTTAGAAGCTAATGGCCTGTGGCCTTAACCAGACGTTTCCAAAGCCTGGTTCTTAACAAACACGAAAAATAGAGTTATATTGCCACCGAAAATCTGAATTTATGTTTAAAAATGTAACTTCCCGTATTTAAACTATTGCCTGCATTGGCGCCTATATTTTATAGTTTTTTTTTATCCTATTTTTTTTGTTTTGCTTGCAAATGTGTGTCCATTTTTCGGGTACTGGATTTTTTTTTCTCAAATTATTACAAATTACTCAAAACGGAGTTAAAAAGAGACGAGGAGAAAAGGGAAGAAGAACCCTTATTTCTCCGACACTGACCTCCGATGTTTATAAAAATTGACGCCTTGACACCCTCCCCGTGAATATTTTACAAAGGATTTTTAAAATTTAACTTCCAAATAACGCATACTCTCGCCTAGTGTCACAGTTTTGGGCCCCATTTTGCTATGGTTAGACAGGTTTATTCTTGTACATTGTCGGGACAAAAGAAGCATCTCCTTCATCCAAATTGACTTTTTCATACCTAATACAACAGCTGCCGGGCATCATCTCGCCTTAATTGTTTCTATTGAATTAATTTTAGTTACAAAAAATTAGATGATCGTCAAAATTGGCATAAAAGATAATCAAGATTTAATTAAAACAAGAATATGCACAAAAGAAAAGAGATAAACTCCGACACGGGAAACAAGGAAATATCGCTGAAACGGCAACTGATCTAGCGCGCGCCTTTTTTAAAAATAATAATTTTTTCAAAAGAATTCTAGGCTAAGCTAAATACCTGGTGCAACAAAATATTGAAGGATCTTCATGATCCTACCTGTGAGCGAGTAGAAAATTATTTGCAAAGAGGATAAAGGTATATCTTAATATAAATAGTTTCACTATTGTTAATATGTCCCCTTTTAAAATGGCGCATTATTTGATACGTACTTTTTTTTCTTGTCAGAGCTTGTCTAAAACAAAAGCGGGATGGATGGAGGTTCTCCGTCAGGTTTTTTTCCTGTCGAAACAAGTTTGTGCGGCGTTCGCTTTGGATCTGGGGAATGGGTGGGGTTATACATATATAAGCTATAAGAAATTTTAATTTTTTATTCAGTTTCCACTCATACAATTTCGTGATAAGTGCAGAGTGAGAAAAATGTCCGAAGTCGAAAATTATCCAACGCAAGCATTGGATTCGTGGGGAAGATTTGTGGTCAATGCGGAAATAATCCGCGAACAAAAATACATTTACGAGGTAGCAATTACGCTGCCGGAATTCGGACTAGAAATTACCTCAGGTCTTAGCCCCGCAAGAATCTTCGCTCCGGCAGTGAAAGTGAGCTTTCTCCCCTACGTTTTGTCGGAGAAAAGAAGCATTTCGTTCGACGAGATAGACTTCACAGAATTAATACAACAGCTTCCACTGTTATTGTTAGCAGGTCCGACTGGTAAAGTTATGTATTTAACCTGCTTCAAACTCAGCTGTCTACAATGTGATGGTGAAGTCTTGGTCAAGATTGAAAATAACGAGGGTATACTCTATATTTCGAAAGACTGGGTACAGGAATTAATTACCATAAGCAAATTGGTATTTAAAAGAATACGAGTACTGTCTCGTTTGAACTTTTACGAGTACTACGATAGAATATTGTATTTGACTATACATGAAAATTTGCTGGAAGACGCCAAAATCTTTCCGCATATAGAATATTTATGTTCTACAGCAGAGAGTGAGCAGAGCTACTGCATGGAGGACTACATGCGTTTTGGAAAAATGCAGATAAAACAAGATATCAACAAAAGGATAGCATGGGACATACCTGTGTTTTAATAGAAATTTACCTGTAAACTAATAATAATAAATGTTTTTTTAAAATTCAGTGTGTGTGTATGTTTTATCCTTACCCCCATAATAAATAGTAAAAAAAAATAACTTTATTAAAGAAAAAAAAAATAACAACAAAATATAATCAAACAAAACATAGTACCACTGGAATGAAACCTTCAGAAATTACCCCAACAACGGAGATTCTCGCACATAATTTACCAAAAAAAAAAAATTTGCAGTGGAAAAGTCAAAGTTCAAAGCTGGCGATGCAGTGAGCATAATTCGCACAAAATCGGTTTTTGACAAAAGCTATGAAATTAATTGGACACCCCCGAAAATTTCAAGATTGTTAAAGTAAGTGGTTCCTTCCCTCTTACGTATATTTTGGAAGATATGGAGGGGCGTTAAATCAAAGCTTCGTTTTATGAAGTCGATTTACAAAAACCGTACTACCAAATAGTCGATATCGACTATTTGGTAGTACGGTTTTTGTAAATCGACTTCATAAAACGAAGCTTTGATTTAACGCCCCTCCATATCTTCCAAAATATACGTAAGAGGGAAGGAACCACTTACTTTAACAATCTTGAAATTTTCGGGGGTGTCCAATTAATTTCATAGCTTTTGTCAAAAACCGATTTTGTGCGAATTATGCTCACTGCATCGCCAGCTTTGAACTTTGACTTTTCCACTGCAAATTTTTTTTTTTTTGGTAAATTATGTGCGAGAATCTCCGTTGTTGGGGTAATTTCTGAAGGTTTCATTCCAGTGGTACTATGTTTTGTTTGATTATATTTTGTTGTTATTTTTTTTTTCTTTAATAAAGTTATTTTTTTTTTACTATTTATTATGGGGGTAAGGATAAAACATACACACACACTGAATTTTAAAAAAACATTTATTATTATTAGTTTACAGGTAAATTTCTATTAAAACACAGGTATGTCCCATGCTATCCTTTTGTTGATATCTTGTTTTATCTGCATTTTTCCAAAACGCATGTAGTCCTCCATGCAGTAGCTCTGCTCACTCTCTTCTGTAGAACATAAATATTCTATATGCGGAAAGATTTTGGCGTCTTCCAGCAAATTTTCATGTATAGTCAAATACAATATTCTATCGTAGTACTCGTAAAAGTTCAAACGAGACAGTACTCGTATTCTTTTAAATACCAATTTGCTTATGGTAATTAATTCCTGTACCCAGTCTTTCGAAATATAGAGTATACCCTCGTTATTTTCAATCTTGACCAAGACTTCACCATCACATTGTAGACAGCTGAGTTTGAAGCAGGTTAAATACATAACTTTACCAGTCGGACCTGCTAACAATAACAGTGGAAGCTGTTGTATTAATTCTGTGAAGTCTATCTCGTCGAACGAAATGCTTCTTTTCTCCGACAAAACGTAGGGGAGAAAGCTCACTTTCACTGCCG